AGGTAATGACCTGCTTGGGGGTGTGGAAGAGGGGAGGTGAACCCTGCATGGCCGGTTTGGTGCCTCTCACTGATTCCCACAAGGCTTTTCAAGGGGGAAACAAGCATCTTTCACGAGACTGCAGGTCCTGGCCCCTTCCTGGGTTAAACCAGGAGCAACCACGGGGCTGGATCCGTGCAGAGGGAGCAGAGTTAGAGCTCGGAGCCATGTGCCACTGCTCCAGGCTTTGCTTGCTGCTCACAGGGATGCTCGTGCCAAGGACCACATCCAGCCCTGGCGCTGGGTGCCAGGGGGTGCTGCGGCTCCATGGGGCAGGGCTCCATGTGGTTGATCCAAGGGGGAGCTGGGATCTGGCAGCGCAAGGGGGGTGGCTCTGGGAATGCCGACAGCCGCTGGCTCCGGCAGCAGGGCAGCAGGGGTGAAGTCATGCCCGTGTCAGCTCATCCATCTCCGCTGCTCGCAGGCTGCTCCCGGGGGAAGCAGAAGCTTTGGCAGCTCTAAGTGGGGCTGGAGGCGGATGCAATTCTGGAGAGCAAGATCCCCTTTGCACAGCCTGTGAGGAGAGAGAAATGGAATCAAAGTTCTGGGCTTGTTTAAAGAACAGAGGAAACGAGGGCTCAATTTCCCCCCCCCCCCGCTGCTCGGCTCCACAAGAGCCCCATCCCCAGAGGAGCTCGGGCCATTAATGAGCTGGAGATGAGAAATGCCTTTTGTTCCTGAGCTGAGGCTGCCCTGGGGGAAGCTGCTGCCCCTGCCCTGTGCGGTGTTGCTGTGGGGAGAGGCAGGGGCAGTGTGTGTGGGGTGGGTGCCCTGTGCAGCTTCATAGGGGGCACTCAGGGCAGACAGCAGGCAGAGCGGGTATTGGGCTTTCTGAGTCGGGCATCTTTCTTTCCTGAAGCCTTGGTTGGAACTGGGAGTGGTTTGGATGATGTTCCTGGCCCTAATACAGCCCTGGGACGCTGCGAAGGGCTGCATCCTTGCAGCGGCATCCCTGAAGATGCATCCTTGGGGCTGCATCCCTGGAGCTGCCGGTGTTTTCGGCAGGAGGAAGGGTGGAGTGTCCCCAGCCCTCCCACACACATTGGTGGCTGCACTGCTGCTGCCTGAGTTGGGGTGTGATGTGCACCGGGGTAAAAGGGATTTGATAAGGGATGGCTTGATGCCATCTCCACTGCGGGAGGACCCCCGGCACTGCCCTGCGGCAGAGCAGGGTGAGCAGGGTCCATCCTCCCCGGTGGCCGGTGGGGAGAGCAGAGCCCCCACTCGCTTCCATACCCTCGCGCTTCATCGTCACCTCCACCCGCACAAAGAGCCTCGTCTGAGTCATCTCCCGGCTAAATGGAGTGTGTGGGCTCAAGCGCAGCTTTAGTGTTCATCCTCTGCTTTGCTGGAGCCTGACACGGGTAAACCAGAGCTATTCATCAATGCGGAGATGAGGCAGATGAATGTGCTGTCCCCGTACAGCAGGCCTTGCTCTCCTCCTCCCAGCTCAAGTAGCTGGTGCTTAAGTGGCTGCTGCTTGAGGAGCTCAAGAGATCTCCCAAGAAATACGGCTTTGACTTCAGCGCTTTGCTGTGAGACACAAAGCCAGGGCTTTGCAGAGAGGAGGCTCTTGAAAACCCCCCTGTGTGTGAAAGGAGGGAGAGGAACAGCAAAGGGGCTGCTTGCGGCACTCACTTGATGCTGAGCCCCTCCGGGCTGAGGATGGTCCTTGCCCAGCTGGTACCCAGGACAAGCCTGGCCTCATGGTGGGGTTTTCCTGCCCGCCCCATGCTCTGCCTGCCTGCGCCAAAGCCACGTGCAGCTCTACCCCAGCACGTGCCCCATCCCGGTCCCCACGGAGCGCAGGGCTGGCGCTGGGGTGCTTCTGTCAGCGATCACGTACTCGAAGCATCCTGATGGCGTTGAGAACCTCTTTGCATAGGAAATGCCAGGTCTCCAGGGAGCGAATCCGGAGCGCACCGTTCCTCCTGGTGACTGACACCAACCTTCCCTGCTGCTGCTGCTGGGGAAAGCTGCTCAGGTGCTGGGAGCTCACCTGCTCGCCCTCGGCACGCGTGGGACATGAGCCAGCTCCCAGCCCAGCTCCTGCTGGATTTCAGCTTCACATTAGGAGGGGCTGTAGGAGCGCGGGGAGCGCATTGCGGGTCCGGCTGCGGGGAAGTGATGGATGCCATGAACCTGGAAGGTGGCAAAATGATCCTTGTCACCGATGGAGCTTAAACGGGACAAGTCCTGAGAGCAAACCCAGCCTGCTGGGAGGTGCAGCAGCAGCGTTTGTGCTGGGGAGTTTGGAGGTGACTGGAGAGGGGGGGACAGCAGCATCACGCAGCCACTCTGCAACCGCACTTGTCACCAGGGTAGGGACAACATCAGGGATTGTCCCAGTGCGGCTGGAGCCCTGCCTGCAGGGAGGATGCTTTGGGCAGATGTTTGAGTACCCAGCGCTGCTCTCACAGTGGGTGCCATGATGCCCTTCAGCCCTGAGATAACTCACCTGGAAGCTGGGGATGCACTGGAAACCCAGGTTGCCCTCCCCATTTGCTGCCTGTGGGGGCCCCTCAGCATCGCACTGGTTGTGGCCAACCAGCCCCAGTGCGGCCCCACTGCGCTGAAACCACCCGTTTCAGGTGCCTGTCAGCGGCGATTAGGGAGCACAATGCTGATGCGGTGCGGGGGGAGCCTGCGGCCGCGGTGCTGGGGCTGCCGGGGGCGGGAGGGGGGCAGCAGGAGGGGACTGGCTGCTGAGCACGTCCCGGTGCAGGCACTGGGGCTGTTACACAAGGAGCGGTGAGCACAGGGCACGGCTGGGACATCCCGAGTCCCACGTCAGCTCCGGGCGCTCGGCACAAGCGCTGGCGCTGCTCCCGGTGCAGCGGGAACCTCCTCATGGCTGCAGGACCTCGCTGTGCATTTCCCATTGCGGATGTCGGCCACGGCACTGGGACACGGGGCTATGGGAGGCGCCAGCTGCTGCGAGCAGCCCGGTTTGGGTCTGTGCGGCTGGGGTGCGCGCAAAGGGATTACTTGCGGCTCCAACGGCAGCAGCTCCGCAGGGCATCTCCCTGCTGGCTCTGCAGCCACCTCCGGAGCGGGGGAGCAAGAGGCTGCGCATCCCTTGGCTCCCAATGCACAGGGCTGCCGGGGATGGGAAGGGGCAGGACAGGAAGGTGTTCCCATGGGCAGCATGCAGGCAGGGGCTGAGCTTGCCTGTGCCTCTAATCACTGTGGCCTACTTGGTATCCGCAGTGAGAACAGGGCTAATCCTAATCCCGGTGAGGATGAACGGCAGTGGAGCCGCACGCCAGGGAGACACGTTCTGGTTGGCACCAGCCATTGTGCCTTGGTTTAGTGCCCTAAACCCCCGGGGTCAGGCTGGATAGCCCAGGATGGGCTTAGCCGGATGCAGGCTTAGCTCTCCAGCATGGAGCTGGTGCCAGTTTAGAGCCCTGGAGCGTGTCCGTCACTGCTCAGGGACTCCCCTTCCTTCCTAACCTGGTGCTGGTTGAGGAACAAACACACCGATCCGGTGTTCAAGTTGTGTGTGGCTTTTCAACCCCATCAAATAGCTTTTATTCACACAAACGTCTCTTTAACTTACAAAGCCTCTGCCACTCATACACATCAGGGTATCCACAGTGTTCAAAGAACTTAAATAGAACGTCTCATACCAATGCGAGTAAACCAAGTACAAAAAATATGTCTATAAAGTTGTTCACACGTAGGTCCTAAATCACCAGCTTCTGTGCAAAACAAAAAGAAAGAGAAATACAGATTCCTTTGCTAAGATCATTATCTTTAGGTTGGAGTCTGGGTTTAAACCTTGGCTCCCACTTGCTTGGCCCGGAGGCTGCAGGGAGAGCCAGGGCTCGCTCTGGGCTTCCAGCAGCTCCCTCCATAGGGAAGCAGCTCAACTGCCAAGCTGTTTCCTGGAGGAACAAGCTGAAGGCAGCTGCAGGAGGGGACAAGCAGAATGGGGACACCAAGCGCTCCCCATGCACCTTTACAGCAGCCCGGGCGTCACCCTCGGTGTTAAAAGCACTGGGGCAGGCTGCAGGGAAACGGGGCTTGTCACAGCTGGAACACAGCAGCTCCTGGGCTTCCCTTCCAGCAGTGCCCAGTGCCCTGCTCCGAGGGGTGGAATGGGTTGGGACGTGAAGGACCCCATGCTGGAATGTGCGGGTACCTGCTAAGCAGAGGAGCTGCAGGCGCTGCTCTCCCCACCACCAGCAACAAATCCCTTAGTGATGGAGCAGTTGCTACAGCAGCACAGGAGCAGGGGCTCCACTTCCCAGCTGCTGCCACTCTGCAGAGCACGGCTGATGGGGTAGGAGGCTGGGAGGACAACTGGTAACACACTGCATCCCATCCCATCCCATCAGCACACCCATCCTGCAGCAGCAGCACCGAAGGGGACCCAGAACCCCCTCGCCCCAGGCAGCTGCAGCATGATGCTTGGGCCTGGGGGGATGAAGGGAAGCAGGAACGTTTCCCTGCTCTCATGACCTGCAGAAAGTGCAGGGAAACATATCCCAGTCTGTGCCCTGAAGCAGCTGCCCCATGGCTCTTGGCAGGCTTAAACCCAGACTCGGTACTGCATATGGAGGAGACAGACAATGCACACAACGGAGGAGTTCCACAATGATGGTAATGCTTGATTTCAGTCTTATTGCTCCAGAAAGGCTCTGGGAGCCTCTGATATGTGAAGGAGCTGGGTCCTGAGGAGTAAAGGAAGACCACAGGGGTAACTCTTATCTGTCGCTAGCACTGCTGAACCTCAGACACGGCAGCAAGGGGACAAGGGGGAGCTAACCTAACCCCTCTAGGCCAGAGCCACCTCTGCTCTCTCCTCCCCATGGACCAAAGCTGGCTGGAAGATCCCCGTGACGCCTGCGTGATGCCAATGGCATGGGCCTGGCTGCAGGCTGGTGCAGATAACACGTTTCCCAATCCTCCTGAGGCTTGGCTTGGTGTGTCCCCCCCCTCCCCCCCACCCCATCCCATCCCTCTTGTAAACAGCATAGTCAGAAGTAAACAGTTTCACACAATCACTCCCTCGGCGCAGGCACCGGCTGGGGCTCACGAGAGGGGTCCCCAGCACTGCCCTGGATGCTCAGGCTCAACGGGGCCAGCAAGAGATGGAAGCAGCCTGGCCCTGGGCTGAGCAATGAGCTTCAGGTTCAGTGCTGCTGTCTTCAGCTTGAGTTTGCCCAGCAGCGCATCCTCATGTCAAACACCGACAGCAGAGGGAGAAGTTCAGCCTGGAGGAGCTGGGCAGAGGATGCCCGGATAGACCCGCCTGGAAAGAGAAGCCTGAACATCCTCCAGCCCACAGCACACGCAGGCTTGAGCTGTTCCCACTTTGTTCTAGAGGGAATGCTGGTCTGGGTCAATGTAACTGGGAGGAGAGATGCTGGGGGCTGTAAACAAGGCAGGTTCCTGTACAGTGTGGGCAGTCGAGCACAAACAGCAGCAAAATCATCGGGGAGAAAATGCTCTTCATAGGACAAACTAACGAGGGGAACATCCACGCTGGAAAGGCTAGCAGCCCTGGGACTCATCCTTGGAAGTGTTTGCTAAATCCTAAGTAAGGCACTACGGTCTAGCTCACTAACATCAAGCTGCTTGAAACACACACCTGCAATGCAAAAGCTGAGGTGGAGACGTGTGGTTTGAAGGTGGCCTGGAAAAAGGGCTGGAGCAAGAGGGTTGACCCTCCCAAGGCCTGCCTGGATGCTGCCTGCCCGCTTCCAAATGGGAGCTGCCTGCAGGGTACAGGCACCTGGCTGGAGGCAGCGGTCCCGGTGAGCAGCTCACTCACCAGCTTCCACATCCCATGGTTCAGGCTTGGCTTGCACGCATGGAAACCTCCTGCTAGGAAGCTCCCTCCAAGTGGGATGTAATGCCTGGCGAGGGGCTCTTCCAGCAGGGAAAGCCACATGAGCAGGGCTGGGAGGGTAAAGAAGCCCTCTTGCTGCACCCGTTCAAGCCAAGGTTAAGTTCTAACAGTTGTAACAGTCAGGAGCAAAGGCTCTGTCAGGTGGAAGAAGGATGGTCCAGTGCTCAGGGCGTTAACACTGTGCTTGTGGGTCCAGCGCTCCTGGGGGATGCAGGGCTCTGGAGCTTGGCATGGCCACTGCAGGGATCTGCTGCTCATTAGAGAGAAATGAGAGCAGGCAAAGCCCCTGAGAGTGCAGCTCAGCACCTTGTGCCCAACCCCACACTGCTCACACCCCAGTGACCAGCCTGGTCATGGGTACAGACATGGGCTGGCTGCGGCTGGCCACAGACCACAGCAGCATCTCCAGAAGAGCAATGTGGGAACAGGGGCTTGGTGCTGAGTTTGTGCTCTCCAAACCTTCACAAGTCACAGACAGATGGTGCCAGGAAGCTCCAGACCACCCTCCTAAGAGGGACCTGGCCTTCCTGCAGTGACAGCCTTAGCTCTGTGTCCTGGAATAGATGGAAGACAGAAAGAGAAACCCATCCCTCCTTTCCCTGCTTCAGCCCGCCTGAATTTCCTCCATTCCCATTCATCCCCATGAGGTCAGCAAGGTAACACTGAGGAGATACAAGGAGGTGCTGTCAGTTCAGTGATCCAGTGATGGCACAGGAAAGCTGCAGCCTGCACAGAGGCAAGGAGCAGTTCCCACAGCCAGGGGTGAGGGCTCACAGGGACCCTGTGCTGCCCAAGGCCCTGGCTGAGCACCCAGGTCAGACCAACCTGGTGTTTTAGCCCGATGAGAAATGGTTTTAGTTGGTTCAGAACCCACGGGGTGGTGAAGAGGTGCTGCTTTACATTGCATTTACAGTGAGCAAAGTCTAAAGACCATCAACACCGGGTCAGCCCCAGGATATTAGTGTTGCTCTAAATATAGGCAAGGAAATCGAGTATTAACTGCTCAGCCTGAGGTTGCAATCTCCTTACCTGAGCTGTACTGTACGTAACCAAACCTAAACAGCAGCATTTGCTTCCTGGAGATGGTCAGTTAGCAGGGAAGAGTGTTTTATGGGAGGCTAGAATCCAGCCCTGAGCCATTTAGGCCAAACCTCCTCGTCTCCCAGGTTCCTAACAGCTGAAGGTTGGCATTCAATGGATCAGGGCAGTGGACTGCTTTGTTTCTGTCCACTGAAAACATGCTTATGGGCTCCCCATCACCCTCTGTGAGGTACCAAGCACGAAGAGTGAAATCCAGCTTGGGGAGAACAAACGTCTGCCCATCACAACCAAATGCCTTCCCAGCCTGGTTATGCTACTCTATCCTAATGTCAACTGCTCCCAGCCAGGGCAGCATCCCCCCGGTTGGCAGCTGCCTGGCTATGAAATGATTTAGCTGTTTGTAACACCTGATTGCAGGGACTCTGTTTCTGAAGCACTGCACTGCTGGTACAGACCTGGCAATCGCCCTGCTCCCATTTCCCCTCCGCAGAAGCAACAGCTTCAAACCCAAAGCTGTGCCCAGCCAGACCCAGAGCTGGTGCCTGGAGGCTGATTCCCACCTCCTTATGGAACCAGATCTTGTCTCAAAACATCCACAGAGTCAAATGGCAACACAGGGGACAGGGGAGGGCTGGGCAAGGGCAGCTCTGCTCCCTGGATTGTGTTTAAGCCTCATGAGCATGGCTGCTGCTCTTCCATAGGCCCCTGCAGCCCCCTCCTGCACCCCCAGAACACCCCATCCCAACAGAAAGTAACACCCAAAGATTTCACATTGCCAGAGATCCTGCACACCAGAGATCTTCTGTATCATCATCATCATCATCCTCATCGTCCCTTAGCTTCAGCTTCCCTCCTTGCACGTAAATAATGGAGATCATGGGTCCCTGGTAAATAAACCTGCAAGGAAAGCAAGAGAGGAGAAAGAGGGGTCAGGTATGTCAGTGGGTTTGTGCCAGTGCCCTGCAAGCCCTCCCCCTGCCACCAAGTCAGACTGCATCAGCATTGCTCATCCCATGCGCTCCCTGCACCTCTCCTTTCACTCCCAAGCCTTAATCAAAGCATCCTGAGGGTCTGGGAGGACTCAAAGTGAGCGCACAGCTTCTCACTACCCAGCCCCTAAACAGCACTGCCCACACCAACTGCGCCGGGTGGAAGGTGCAAAGGTAACCAGATTGGTGCTGGAGGCAGCCTCATCCCATGGGATTCACAGCAGTGACAGCCCCGCTGGAACAAGGACGAATGTGACAGCCTTGAGGTTCCACGTGATGCCAGCACCAGGTCCTTCACGGGGAGGTGGAACAAGCTGTGCCAACAGGGACACCCTGCACTGCTCACCCTGTGCAGCAGCAGCAGCTCGGCTGCTCAAGTGGCTCTGCAAGAGGAGGTGAAAATCCACTTCTGTGCAATGGAAAGAGGAGCAGGATGGGCTGTACCAGCCCAAGAGGATGCTGAGTGCCGGGGATTTTAGGGAAGAACAGGCAGGTCTTTGCTGTGGTCAAAGCCCCAGCACACAGCATCCCCCCTGGCCATGTAGCACCCACAGCCCTGGCACTGCAGGCTCCTGTCCTCCAAATCAGGGATGCAGAAACACCCCAACCCTGCACATAACCCAGCAGCATTTTCCACCCGCATCGCCTGCATCCCACCAAATTCCCTGTGACATTCCAGCCAGCAGCAGAGCTGGACCCAGAAGAGGAACACGTGCCCAAATGTCACTCCTGTGCTGGAAATGCATCGTTCAGGGTGTCACAGCCATCAGAGGATGGACCAGCAGAGCTGAGGCCAGGGAGCATCAAGGGGTGGTTTGGGACCCACCTGATGGAGGGAGCTCCTGAGCTAACAGGAGTTCCATTTTCCCCCAGACCTAAGCTCAGTTACACGGAAAACAGGAAGATGGGGGCTGAATTTAGCCCCCCCTTTTGCAGGAACAGGTCCTTTGCCACCAGGAGCAGGTCCTTTGCCACCAGGAGCAGGCAAGGGGCTCTGCAGAGACACCAAACAGAGCGGACGTGCTGAAGAACTGCCACTGCCCAGCAAACTGCTCAAATCCCTTTGCCCTCGGGAATGTCACTGAAGGAATCCAGGCCTGAGGACCTCATTTCTGAAGGGAGAGGCTGCCTCTCTGCTCACAGCAGGAGCCAGGGCCACAGGCACGGTGCTGCTCAGCAGAGGTTAACCAGGAGATGCTGCCTTTGCAGGCTGCAGGCAGGAAGAAGCCTCTCTGAGAAGATCTGAGAGGCACCAGGACAGCGGGTCAGGTCAGGAAGAACCTTGTCCAAGGAAAGATTTCTCCAGTGGTACAGCTCCATTGGCAAACAGGGCCATGCTTCCACTTGCGCTTCCTGGGAGCACTCTGAGGGGCAGCACTGGCAGCTCTGAGGCAGGACAGCTCACCCCACTGACGCACGTTGCTTCAGGGGCTGGCTCAAGAGCTTTCGATCCCTCCGCTGATGCCATTTAGAGTTCTTAATCAGCTCGAATGTTCATTCAGCAGCAGCAGGATATGAAGCAGCAGCAGCCTGTGGGGTTCTCACCCAGCACCAATGCAGATGAGGATGACACCAATGCGTGGGGCATGGCAGGGATGGGAGGTGGCAGGGAGGTCTGCGTGGTAGCAGAGGACTCAGCACAGGGGAGGGAGAGGTAACCCAGCACTTTCACAACTCAGGCTTGTTCAATACACCCTGCACAGCCCCACAGCATCAGAGGGTCCCACTGAAGCAGCACCCATGGGAGGGCCTAATCTAGCCAGGGGAACTCAAGAGGGCAGCTACCAAAAAGACACACAAAGATGCTCACATTACACAGGAAAGGAGAGAGGAAAACAGCCCCAGCCTTCTCCAAAGGACGAGAAGGGGGTGAAATACTCCTTAGAGTGGGGGGCAGTCACAGAGCTGGGCCATCCCACAGCCACCAGGAGACCGTTATCAGCCCAATACAGCCACTGCCTTATTGTATTAGACAGGCTTTTGTCCTTTGGCACGCCTTTGGGAACAGCCTTCAGCACAGTGTGCAAACGAAGAGAACAACTTCATTTTGCCCAGGGAAATGCTGCTCACCTCTACTGGACCAGAGCTGGGAAGGGGAACAAGGAGATAAGAGGAGATAACAGGTTCATCTCTAGCAGAAACCAAGCCAGAAACACTTCCCTGGCTGAGAACTGACACCCCACACCTGTGTTTTTGGAAGGGTACCAGAGCACAGAGCCTGCTGACGGGCTTGCGTGCAGCATCCATAGCAGAGCTAAAGGCAAAGCTGCTGGGACACGAAGCAAAATCAGAAGAGGTCAGTGACACACCAAAGAACAAACAGAACTCCTATTGCCTGGCTCAGGGAGGGGTACAGCTTTCCAGGTTATGGCATAAACCGAGGCTGAGCAGGGCCTGAAGCTGTCCTAAGAACATGACCCACTGCATGACCCAGCAGCATCATAAGCTACGTGCCAGTGCCACAATCAAGTTAGGTTACATGAGTTTCTTGGCCAACTTAAAGTACCTGGGAGCAGAATCCAGGCCCTGCTCTAAATCCCATTTTAAGCCACTCAAGCAGGTTTCCAATTTAAGATCTGCCTTTAATAACAGCCAGAGGTCAGCTGATTTGGATGCACAACTACACAATGCATTAGGAAAACCCTATAGGAAGCACACCGAACATTCTGCCACCCCAGAAAGAAGGCAGAGGAACGTTCTGGGTGTGCAGAGCAGATGGCTGGTGCTGGGCTCCTATCTGGGCACACTGTTATGCAAGTGCATCCATCCCTGCTGCAGCTGCGTCATGGACTGTGTGCTCAGTGCAGACTCAGGGCTGGCTCTGGCTGCAGATAGAGGGGGGGTGCTGCAGAAGGCAGCTGGGTTTTAAGCAAACAGCCCCAGGGTAGGACTGTCCCTCGGTGTTTGTCATCCCTGCCTGTACTATTCTGCAGGATGAAGCTTCCCCGCAGGGCAGGGGCTGCTTGCATAACTGAGCAGCATCGAGTCAGCACAGAGCCACTGCACATGGGCACAGCAAAGCCCGACCAGCCCCTCAGCCACGCAGCAGAGCTGCTGCCAGCAGGCAGAGGAGACCCACGCCTGGCCCTGGGGCACAAGGAAGGGAGCCCTGCTCCTGCCCCAGGACTTCTTCACACCCATTACATCCGCGGATTCACTCCCCACCCTAATCTCCCCAGCCCACACTTGCACTGGGACCAGCCCCAGGCAGCAGCAGTCGCATCAATTCCTGGTGCTGGAGATCTTCAGGGCCTTAAATATTCCATTTTATAATGAAATATTTTATAACAGGGATGGTCTGTGGGCCAGTTTGGACAAAGCAGCAGTGACAGCACTAGACCCACCCCTGGGCCTTTCCATTTCTGTATCCCTATTGCTCTGCACACAGCACAAAGCTTATCTGGGAACACACACACACACGCAGGGGATGGGCAGGACATTGCTTTACATAAGCTCAGGAGCTCTCAGGTGGGCAGCAATGAGGCTTTTTTAGCAACACCTGCCCAAATGCCCCCACATTCCTGCTGCTGGAGGCTCACTCTTGGGCATGGGCCAGCCTGCTCGTCCCTCTGTGCTCTCCTGTACCTGTGGTCTGCTCTGGTCCAGCAGGTTCTGGGTGGTTTTGGGGTGAGGGCAGGGCTGGGAGCCGGAGCTGCAGCACCAGCACACGACACAGGCAGGCTTTCAGAGGTCTCCTGTGACCAGCAATGCTCAGGCAGCTCTGCAGCAGCTTGAGAAAGAACCAGGCTGGGAAGACCTCACCCCCTGTAATCAGTCTTTTGTCACTTCAATTGAAGTGTTGGGCCAGGACAATCCCTAGTAACAGCTCCTGTTTACACACTGCTTTGCCATGCAGGCAACACCTCCCCGCCCTTCAGCATCACTGCTTAATGGCAGGGCCAACTACCCCATGTCCCTGGGGTCCCTTCCAGACCATGTATGAGCACCCAGGCCTCAGAACCAGGACCCCTGAGTTTGGGACTACTTAGAAACCAAGCTGGGGCGAGAAGGGAGGGGACTCTGCTTGAACCGAGCTGAGCTCAGGCTGAGCACAGCTGATTTGTAAGCAGACACAGGCCTAGAAATTAGATGCTACACTCCACATAGCAGAGGAGGCAGAACTGGCAGCTCCTTCCCTGCCCCTGGGAGAGATGGAAGTACCCAAAGGTGCGTGCAGATCCCTCTGCCATGCACCAGCGGGACCTCGGAGGAGCAGGATGCCTGGCCGGCCCTGCCTGCTCTGCTGGTCCTTTGGGCAGCAGTGGGACACATAGCTGTTAATTCTGTTTCCCACCTCGACTTTATTTTTGCAGTAGAATAGGTGGAAAAAAACCTCAGCAGCAGTGCTCTGATGAGTCACTATAGAAATAGCTCCGGGAACATAAAAGCCTCCTTTGTGTCACTACAAAGTACATTGTCGGGCTGGTACAGGGGACAGAACACAAAAACTGAGGATCACTTACCCAGCTGCAAAGCACAGCAGTGCCCTGCCCTGAATTTAAGCAGCACATGTAACCTGGTCCATCCTGGTTTCAAGCTCAAAGGCATCAGGTCGATCCTGCGGGTTAGCAGCCAACATGTCTTTCAAGAGCTGCTTGATCCCCTCAGACATGGAAGTCCTGCGTTTCTGAGGGATGTGCAGCTCCATCTTTGGGTTTTCTAGCAGCGCTTCCCCAACAGGCACAATCTCAGTCCCCTGCTTGATGTAGGTCCCCAGCAGCTCCTTCTTGGTCTCCGCGTCAATGAAAGTGATCCTCTCAATCATGGCCCAGATGATGATGCCCAGAGCGAAGATGTCAGCCTTGGCAGTGTAGTGTCCCTCCCAGACCTCGGGGGCCATGTAGAAATCAGAGCCACAAGCCGAGGACAGCCAGTACTTGTTGACATTCACATTCCTGTTCCCGTGCCCCCCCTCCTTGCCCCGAGCAGTGAGGCCAGCGCAGACCTTGCTCAGCCCGAAGTCGGCCACTTTGAGGACAGGGGTTCCAGACTTCTCTGTTATCAGGATGTTGTCTGGCTTCAGGTCCCGGTGGACAATGTGGTTCTTGTGCAGGAAGGCAATGGCACTGGTCAGCTGCAGCATGAAGCTCTTGTTCGTGGCCGGGTCAGGTCTTCGGGAGAGCACGTACTGGTTGAGGTCTCCTCCTTCACAGAACTCCATGACGAACCACAGGTAGCAAGGTTCCTCTGCATAGCCCAGGATCCTCTCACCTGAAAAAGGACAAGAGCAAGCATGAGTTTATCAGGCACTGCACAGTGTCCACGCTAACAGCATGGGCAAGGAACTGATCTGGTTTATGTGGACAGTAAGGGCGCTAGGAACATGACTGGGATCTACTGCCCTTGCAGGTACCAGCAGTGACAGTGGCACTGCTGTGGCTTCAAAGGCTCTAGGTTTCCATGGAGTGCCATGCACCAGCATGACCTTTACCTGAGCCCACTGCATCAGGGACCTGCTCCACGCAATGCACACACATGCGAGTGAGATCAAGCACGGATCTTCTCAGATGCTTGCAGGGAACTTGAACCAGAGGGTTATTCTCCTGTGCTGCCATAGGGCAATTCTCCCTGGGCTCTGAGAGCCAAAGCAGCAGAGACCAAAGGCACAAAACAGCAGCAAGTCCATAGGAAAAAAAATCAGTTCTATGTGAACAAAACCTCTCCCACCTGAGCTCTGCTGCAGGAGGCAAAACCGGCTTATACCTTCCTAGTGTCACTGTGAGTAAATACATGGCTTAACGTCGTGCCAGTCCAGCCTGGCTAAGAACAGACACCCCAGTGTCAAAGCTGGCACTTCTCAGACTAAACTTGTGTGTTTAAGCGTTGTGTTTGTGCTCAGAAACACTTCATACAGCTCTTAATAGTGCCAACCAGTCTTTCAAGAGAGGAAACTGGAGGCCCAAGCAGTAAACAAGGTTTGCTGGGTGCACTCAGCCACACTTATGGATGTAACTTGCTGTGCTCAATGTTACCCCCCAAGCAGCTTCTTCCTTCATTAGACATCCCATTGAGATTTAAGCTCAGAGCATCTCGGGTCCAATGCATCCTACTCCACAAGCCCCCTGCCAAGGCAAAACACTCTGGCACATAACTAGAGGCAGAGAGAAATGCAACAGCATCACATCAGCTAATGGGGCTGGGTCTGCCACTGGTATTCCCCAGGACAACCTGGCATTGTGCTCACGAGGCTGCCCTAGGGAATACCAGTGGCAGACCCAGCCCCATCAGCTGATGCCAGGATGCAAACCCCGCTTCCAGACCCCCGTTTACCTGCCCAGAGCACTGAGAGGACAGGCAGAGCCTGCCCACACAACCAGGGCTCTAGGAACCAGGGTTTGTTCCTCCCTCAGACACCGTAAGGGAGGGAAGCTGGAGGCCACCACTCGCCTCTGCCACAGTGAAGGTCACGCAGAGGAACTCGAGTGTTTTGAAAGCACTTCAGTAACTCCACCCGTTTGACAACGTTGGGTTTTGTTTTAGCAAAGCCCTAGAGAGCATCTGGGAAAAGCAGGAACTTCCAGGAGCAGGTAAAGCCAAGGGCTCTGCTGAACACCGAGCCCTGGGATGGTCAGCGATTGCTGTGGGTGGGAATATTGGTTATTTGCACAAACAGTCTGTATCCATGGCTACTGCTATGGAAATGGAAGTCTGAACAACAGCAAGATTTGGCTGAACCTCCCACCCTCAGCAATCTTCTAGGTCTGGATGTTGGGAGGGAGCATGAACAGGCTGGAAGCACAAAGCACTGAGCGCGCTAAATGAGCCCCCTAAAGTGCTGGAGGGGTCTCAGCACACGAACCCAAGGGCCAAGCAGGAGCAGCCCAGGACAGATTGGCTCTGGAGGCCAAAACACTGCCCAGGAAAAGCAGCTTCTCTGGTGTGAGCCACCCCCTTTGGCAAGGCCAGTATGACAGCATGGAAACTGAAGCAGAGGCTGCTCAGCCCCCAGAGCCAGGACAGCCCCAGCTCACACCACTCGGCTTTGCTAAACCCCAGTGACATCCAGCAGGGCACAGAGCTTTGCTTTCCTGCTCCTCTCCACATCCACAGACCCCCAACATGGAGAGCAGAAGGGTTTGGGCCTTCTCAGCCAGGGACCACACCATGATGGGCACAGCAAGCCCCATGGCCCATCACACATAGCCAGCCACCTCCATTAAGTGGGAGGGTGAGAGCATTCACACGGCTCAAGGTTTGCTCTTAGCCTAACAAAGGTTCTGATGTGAAACTTGGCCCCCTGAGCCTCAGCAAGCAGAGGGAGGATGCTGCTGACCCAGCAGAAGCTGCAAGCCCCGTGCACTTCATTCTGGGTGGAGCGCTGCTCACAGGGGCTGCAGCCAACAGTAATATTTCCTCATTTTCTTTCTATAATCAGAAAGCGTTTGAGTTGTTAAATCATCTTCCTACCTTCAAAACAAACAGCTTGAAACATAAAGAGCTGGCAAGGCGCTTCCTAAAGATGAGATGTTTGCAAACTGATGTCAAGCAGCCAAGAGCTGAAGAGAGGCAGACAGGCCAGAGCTGTTCTCCATCACAAAGAGAGCATCCCCTGCCCAAACAGAACAGCACTCACCAAGCTCTCCATCCTCACAGCAGGCCTCCCACCCCCTACCCTGGGAGCTCGTTAACAGCTTCTAATTTGCTTAGTATCACGGTAGAAAAGAGTGTAATGACAGCAGACCCAGCATCCCACTCCCCACAGGTAACCGTGGACTCCCTCTGTGCAAAGAGGCTGCACCAGAGAGGTGGGAGCTGGCAGCACAAAGCCTGGGTGCTATGAGTTAGGAACAAGAGGAGCACAGAGAAACATCCCAGCCTGGTTTGTGCTGGAAAGGACCTTAAAGCTCATCCAGTTGCGACCCCCTTCCATGGGCAGGGACCCCTTCCACTGGAGCAGCTTGCTCCAAGCCCCCTGTGTCCAGCCTGGCCTTGAGCACTGCCAGCGATGGGGCAGCCACATGGCCATGCACAGCCCTGAAGGTACACGTGGATCATGGCACCAAGCACGCTGCTCAGGGATGTGCCTCTCCTCAGGCTCATTCCAGGCTTCCAGCTTCCTCTCTACACTCGGCCCTTAAATTCTTCATTCCCCATCTCATTAAAACAATGAGGGGTTGGGCTCTGCTGTAGCTGAGCCCCAACAGTGCCCGGTACCCCGGCAGCGGTGCTCCTGATGCAGCAAGGCTGATTAATCCCTGCCGTGCCCTGAGCCCCGGCACGTTGGCACAGCATCTGTGCTGGCCCGTAAATAGCCCCGCTGCGGTCGTGCCGAGCAGCACGGCGGCACAGCCCAGCAAAGCCCTGCTGCTGCACATGGGGAGGGACACAGCAGACCTGCAGGCTCCTCTGGCCCCAGCTTTTGCTCTGAAAAGCCTTATCAGCGCTCTATCAGACCCAAAGGAAGGCAGCGAGCACAACCTCTGCCCGAGCCCAACGCAGCCCACAGGGCACCCGGAGGGGAGGACACATCCTGGTTTGGGGAGTGCAACTGCTGCTCTCCAGCCTTGGGGATGGAGAGCTCAGCTCCGCTCCTCTCTTCAGAGGGCTGCAGCAGAACCGGGGCAGCAAATGGCAAGGGAAGTCAGGGGGTTCTCTCCCTGCCTAGAGATGGGGGACCTATAGGTACCCAGGAGCTTTCCCCAAGCCCCTTCATGGGGTGTGAAGAGGACAAAGGGAGCCAGAAACCTTGTATCTGCAGGCAGAGCATGACTTGCTACAGCTGGACACAGCCAAAGGGAAGAGCTGGCTCCCCTCTAGGGAGCTGTGCCTGTGAGAGCACACCAAGGAAGCACCCAGGCTATGCAGAAATCAGGACAGTGCCCTTGGGGAGCCTCCCGTGGGTGGTGTGTGTGGAATGCGGGGGGAGAGCAGGATGAGGTCCGCACGGTGGAGAGCCAGGCAGGTCCAGACATGCTCTCCCAGGAGTGCAGAGGGGACAGGAGAGGCAGGGGCAGTCTGAGACCCTGAGGGCTGCTCAGAGGATGGGGGTCTTGGCAGCCCTGTGTGAAGTCTGTGCCTGGTGCAGGGTCTGGAGACTGCCTGTACCAGGGAGTATGGGGAGATCGAGCTCCTCAAGGAGCATATGGGAGTCCTGGCACACAAGTCTGGGGATGGAGGCTGTGGGGTGAGCTGGCTCTGGAAGCTGGGGGGCACAGAGGCATTGAGCAGACAGGGGTGCTGTACTTTTCCACGTCTTTACCACATGGGCAAGAGCTGGGTCTAACAAGCAGCCGAGGGAGCAGAGGATGGGAGGGAGCATTTCAGAGATGTCACCATCACAGTTATCGGCTGTGAGAGAAGAAGGTGACCCCTGAGAGCCCCGTGATGCTACTGAGGGACCCCAGGGGAAGATGGGGGTGTCAGCCCAGGCTATGAGCACTGGTGCTTCCCGGGCTGAACCCACGGAGCCAGCACAGGGGGAACCAGGAGAACACAAAGAATGGTCCCAAAGGTGTAAGAGCTCGAGGGAGCAACCAGGGCACCGAACGGCTGCAGGCCGGGGGACCTCAGAGCAGACAGGACTGTGGGTCAGGCAGAGACAGGAGGGATGTGACCAGGACAGAGACCAGTGAAGGTCCCCAAGGGATGCGTGTGTGTGCTGTGGCGCAGGTCAGGGGCTGCATGGCTGTGGCGCAAAGCCTCAAGAGAACGGGTGTGCAGGAGAGGGGGGTAAGTGCTGGCAGGGATGCAAGGAAGGGCTGAGGTGAGCACGCGCGGATGCTCCCCAGGGCTGGGTCCAAGCCTGGAAGTGACAACAGGGTCCCTCAGGAGGAGGGGGTCAGGGATGGGGTGCTGCAGAGATGCAGGGCAAAAGGAGAGAGCCCACAGGGCTGCTAAAGAACAGGGTGAGGGCGTCAAGAGAGGTGTCCCTGGGCGCAGCATGGAAAGGAAGGGGAGAAAGGGGACAGGACGCACAGGCAGAGCCCAAGGGCGCAGCACAGAGCAGGGCCCAGCACAGGGGATGCTGTGTGGGGGTCCCACAGGGGTCCTTGGGGTGGGTGGCAGCAAAAAAGGGGGTGCTGGGGCAGCACAGGGGCAGGTGACGGGAGCGTGGCTGGGGCAGAGGGACAGCAGGGCTGGCAAGGAGCAGGACAGAGGAGCCATGGGGTGTTCCACAGGAGAAACAGTGAGTTAAGGTGGAAGGGAGGGTGCTGGGGGCCCCCAAGGACGGGGCTGGTGTTGAGGAGCGAGGCTGGGGGTGTCCCACCGGTCACCCCATGCGAGCACAGAGCCCGGTGCGGGTAACGGGGGGGGGGGGGTCGGGTACCTTTGAGGGAGGTCTCCACGAGGCGCAGGTAGAGCTGGCTGCGCTTGTTGCCGTGGCTCATGCGCTGCCCCAGGCCGTGCCGCTGCAGGACGCACTCCTCGAAGCGCACCACGTTGGGGTGCTGCCGCCGGAGGCTCGTCAGGGCCCAGAACTCGGCCAGCGCCAGCTCCACGTTCTCGGGAGCGTCGCAACGGATCCGTTTCACCGCCAACCGGGCGCCGCTGCGGCCCGACACCGCCTCGTACACCACGCCGTAGGCCCCGCGGCCGATCTCAGCCAGCAGGCTGTACCGCGGAGCTCCGCCGCCGCCGCCGCCAACCGGGCCGGGCCCCGGCGCTGCCGCCGCCGCCGCCGCCATAGGGCCCCGCTGAGGCGCTCTCCGCCGCCGCCGCCTCGCCGCCTTTTGTGTCCCGCGGCGGCCGCCATCCGCCGCCTCCATGGCGCCGCCGAGGGGGGGCCGCGCGCCCGCCGCCGCCGCCCCCCCCGCCCCGCGCACCGGGATGCGCCGCGCCGGCGAGGGCGGAAAAGCGCGCGCTGCCTGCCCCTTTAAGCGCTCGGCCAATCGCGGCGGCGCGGGACGAACCATCGCGGCGGCGAGGGGGGGAGAGCGGGCACGGAGCCAGGAAGCGGAACCCAGCCGGCAGCGGGACGGGCCTCGGTGGTGGGAACCCGGTACCCCCAACCCCGTGCTCGGTAACGGGGGCGCCGCGCTGCCAAGGCGGCTCAGCGCGGCGGGGGCTCAGCGCGGCTGCCACCCGCCTTGCCCCCCCGCCGTTGTGGTACGCGCCGCCCCGGTGTAAACAGGCCGGGCATCGGGGCGGGCGCCCGGTGCCACCGCCCCGGGCCCGGTGTCCCCACCCCGGCCCTGCCCCGCCGGGCCCGGCACAGGCGGCGCGGGCCCAGCCCACGGTGCTCACCTGGGCCGCGGCGGAGGGCTCCGGGCCGGGGGCCGTGTGACCGGGAGGGGCGGGGCGCCCTGACGTAACCCTTATGTAACGGAGGGGGTGACCCGCCCCCCCGGTGCACCGGGAATGGGAGGTGATGGCCGTGACCGGGAGATCGGAGCGGGGCTTGGGGTCGGTTTGAGACCCCCCCCCGGTCCCGGGGCTCCCCGCGGGGGTTCCAGCTGATCCCCGGGTGCCCGTGGGATGGGGATCGCACCGATGGCCAGAACCGGGACACGGCGGCTGCAGCGCGGGTGGGAGCCCCATGGGAGCACCGTGTGACCCCCGGGACTCAAGTCCCGGCTGCTGTGGGGCCGGTTTGGCCGTGTTGCTCCCTCGGGCAGGAGGTGTGGGGTGGCCTTGTCCCCGCACAGGGGTCCGTGTCCTGCACACTGTCCCCAAACTGCTCTTCATCCCCCGGCTGCGGACTTCACGAGCATCCATCCACCCCAGGCACTGTGGATGGGTCTAATCCTGCCACCGGGCTGCTGGGCTTCGTGCTGCTGGGGCGGGATGGATTCGGGGGGGGAAAAGGGGCATCAAACCCCATGAGAAGTCATTTTCCAGCCGCTTCTCCCCGCCTTTCCCAGCCCCCGGCACGGGTGACGTTAGCAGCAGGCAGGGATGGTCAAGGAGAGCATCTGCGGAGCCGGTTTACGGAGGAGCCTGGATTTTGACTCACTCCCGAGGCTTGTGCCGCTGCCATCACGCAGCAGCTCCGGGCTGCATCGCAGTGGTCCGTCCCCCAGGGAGGATGGAGACCCCGCGAGCCACCAGCACTGCTGTACAGGGCAGGTGATGGCCCCACGTCAGAGCTGACCCTCTGCGGCTCAGGCTGCAGCTCCCGCAAGTGCTTTGAACTCAATTTGCTTTTAAATGGAGCCGCTTCACCTCAAGGCCGGGGGATGCGGGGGCCGTTCCGCAGCCCAGCGCTCCCGGTGGGGGGTGATGGCAGCGCCGTGACTCGCTCTGTTCTGTGGGCTCCCCTCTTTGTGCCGCATCGAGTGGCCACTTGTGCCTCTTTGCCCATGCAGGGGGGTCACCATGTGCCCGCCTGGGCTGCGCAGTGACCTCGAGCCACAGCGGTGTGATGCTGGGAGGGGCTGGACCGGGTCCTGGTTCCACACTGCAGCAGTGACCGGGTCCTGGTTCCACACTGCAGCAGTGATCACCCCCTGCCCGCCCGGCATCTGCCTCCAGATCAGGTTCATCGGGGGGTGCTGTGATCAATCAAAGTGAATGACTCCGAAGGGAGTTTGGGAGCGTCCTCCAGGCTCAGCTCACCCCCACAGTTCTCCCCATGGAGCTACCGGGGTCTCTTGCAGCCCACAAAATGCATCTTACTCTGCAGCAGCCCCAGGCATCCCTTGCCTGCATCTGCCTGCAAAACTGCTGCTTCCCTGCCCTGCCCTGGCGTCCTGGCCTTGATTGAGGGCCTGGAGGGAGAACGAGCATTTAGGAGCTTCTGGAAAATCCCTGTCCCACTCAATAGGATAAAGCTCAATAGGAGCCACAGCGGAGCGGCCGCCTTCAAACGCTCCCCCCAGCAGCATCCTGCCCGCAGGGATGGTTTTCCCCATCCCACGATGGGGAGGGGGCACCCTGGAAGGGCCCTGTGTGTGCTGGGGGTGTCGGGCAGAGTGGCAGCGCTCTGTGACGTTGGTGCCATTACCTCCCACTTGCTCTCGTCCCCCTCCTCGCCGAGCCCGCTCCTCACTCATGTACTTATGAAAACTTAACTTTCCTATTAGTGCTCATGTTTCTCTTACCCAGGTGCTTAATTCCCATTGTCCCAGGGAAATGTCAGTGTGACTCACAGACACTTTCCCATTAGGAAGCGACAGATGAGTATTAATTAAACTTGCTGGTGGGTGGGCTCGCTCCAAGCTCCATTCCCAAAGGACCCCGTTATCCCCCCCCCCACGGCGGCCTGGACCCCAACCAGCCCCAGTGAGGACCCCCTCGCCCAGCCCAGCCCAACTCTGGCACACATAGAAAATAAACCGGCTCTGCTCCAGGGACAGGAGTCGTTCAACCTCCCCCTGGAGCAAAGGGAATCAGCCTTGATGAGGAATATTGTGATCAGGAAGAAACCTTATCACAAACAAGTTCTCTCCCATGCCTGTGGGGTTTGCTCCATCATCAGAAGCACATCTCCCTCCTGTGCAATTACCCTGCACAGGAGGTGGCTGCATCAGGGGCTGTTTGGTTTAGGGGGTGCTGGAAGCCGCTTTACTTTTGGGCTCCGTGGTCCTCGGGCAGGCACCAGCCTTTGGGGCAATGCTGCATGGGGCTGGTTGCTCCTGCATGGAGCCGTTTGCCTGCAGAATTGGAGGTTGACCCCAGGAGGCCGGGCTTTAGGGATGGATTCATGGATCTGGGAGGGCTATTTGATAGAAAGGTTGGGTTTGGTGTAAGAAATGCTGCCCCCCCGCAGTGGCTGTGTTGCCCCTGGGACCACTAATCCCAGCAGCAAGGGTTAAACCTGCCAGGGGGATGCCGGAAGCCCCTGACTGAGGGTAATTTGCAGCTTTTGTTCTCTGCATTGTTCTGTGCCTACGCAGCCCAGCTCACCGCAATGAGGGGGGCCATGGATGCCCTCTGCCCCCAGATAGGTCCCACAGGGGCTATCTCCTCCATCAGTGCTGGGGAGATGCAGGATGCTCTGCCCTTGCCTTGCCCCTGCTCCCTTGGTCCTTCAGAGCTGGTGCAGCCCCAGCCTGGGCAAGCTAAAATCCACCTCCAAGCAAAAGCTGTGGGGTCCCATGTGCTTTCTGGGAAGCAGAGCTTGGCACCCAAACATGGGTGCTAGCGGAGGTGGCACCAGCCATGGGGATAGGGGACCACAGGCAGCTGGCACAGGCTGCTTTGCCCATCCAGCCATGGTTGCTGGGTGCCCAGTGGAGACTCCTGCCCATGCCGGTGGCCCCTGTGCCTCTCCACCAGCACTGGGAGGATGAGCAGGGGCCACCGGGTCCGGCAGCTGCTGCTGGAGCCAGGGAGAAAGGCAGGTTGCTGGGAAACATTCCTCTTGAGCTCCGATAAAAATAGCTCCGTCTTCAAGGCGAGAGGACGGGGCTGCGCTGCTGGCAGAGCAGGAACAGGACCGGCTGGCCCGGACCCGTGGGGTCTGTGCCCTGGACCCCCCAGCCCCACACCTCTATAGTGACATGGTGCAGGGGGACAGTGGTGCATGGGCTGAGGGTCTGGTATTGCCTGGTGCTGCCCTCCTTCACCCCCAAATCAGGCTTGGAGGTGTTTGGACAGGAATTGGGGGTGAGCAGGGATGCTGGGGGGGCTCGGGGGGTCTCCATCCTCCCACTCTGGTCTCCTGGCCCCTCTGACTCAGCTCTGTGGGCTTGTCCTCAAGAGGAGGAACAGAGGGGCAGTCTCGTGAGTCCAAGCCCCGACGGTGTGGACATGGTGGGGGGGTGTCTGTGCAAGGGCTTTGCTGCCTGACAGCAGCCAGGCTGGGTGGGTTTGGAGGGGGACCAGCCTTTCCCAGTGTGTTCAGACCCTCCTTTGCCTGTCCTGGTCGCTTCAGATGGGCTCAGTCCTCTCCCCAGCATCTCCCCAGCCTGGAGCGCGGGGCGCAGGGGGGAATCAGGACTTCATCCCCCTTGGGCAGGATTTGAATGTGACGCTCAGGGGGAATTCACACCCCCAGCAGCAAAACCCCTCCAGCACACAGCCAGGGGGGCAGATGGACCCCGAGCTGCCACCTCCTGTGTCTGGTGCCTAAGTTTCAGCCCTGACGGACGAGGCTGGCCCCGACGCGGGTCCCGGAGGGGTGCTGTCGGTGGCAGTGCAGTGATGGGACGTGCACCCCAGTGCTCGGGGCAGCCGGGGGGGGGCTTTGGGGAGCCCCTGGCACAGCGGGAGAACTTGCTCGGGAGGTGCTGAGGATGCTGCGGGGCTGATTATTCACAGCCTCCCTCGCCCCGATTGGCTCCACGGCGCCGAGCGCAGCCGGGCCCCGCCGCAGGAGGAGACTCCGTGGCCATAAAAGCGGGGTGAGAGGCGGCGGGTGGCGAGTCCGGCGGCACCGCGGCCCTGCCGGCACCGCCGATGCGCGGCTCAGCCTGACGCCCGCGGAGGGAGCGCATCCACCGGTCCCGACCCGGCTCGTCGAGGGCACAGCGCAGGTAGGGCTGCAGCCGGGGTCACCGCCCCGCTCCCATCGCGTGGTGCCACTCAATAAGGGGGACTCGACAAGCAGACCTGAGCCGTGGTGCCAGGAGCGGGTCACGGAGGGGCTTGCGGCCATGTGCTCCTCGTCCCTCGAGCGGGCTCAGAGCCCACGAGCTGCTGTCCAGAGCTGGGGTTTGCTTCCATGCTGATGCCACGTCTGGCCTCGGGTCACACAGGGCTAAGAGGGACAAAGGGAGCCGGGGGAGAGGACGGAGGGAGGTTTCTGTCTCAAGCAGCAGCTTGGGGTTTGCTGTGATGCTGTCCCAAAAGTCGTTGTCTTTTAGGAAGAGCCTTGTCCCGAAGGTGCTTCCAGATCGTTTTGAAAGGTGAGGAAAGGAACTGCTGGAAAGGGATTCTTCGTCTCCACCAGCAATACGTGCAAGGTCCCAACCTGCCCAGGTTAGACCTGTGTGGGAGGAGAGATCGGGGAGAGCTGTTCACATCCCGCTAGCAATAATCACAGGTTAATCAGGATGCAGGGTCGCTCCTTGTGCTTCCTGGCACACACCAGGGTTCCCCGTCCCTCCTTGGGTCTGTAACTGGCCCCGGGGTGCATGGATGCAGCTTGGGGCTTTTCTACACACAAGCAAACCTGGGCACCGAGCACTCGAGTGGAAGCAGGATGGGGAGCAGGGGATCCCGGCAGGCGCCTGACACAGGTAGGATGTGCCAGGACCCACCACTGGCATTGCTACCGAGGTGTTCCTGCAACAGGGATGGCTCCGGAGCCTCCGTGCTCCTCCAGGTAATGCAGGATCCAGCTCTAACTCCGCTTTTCTTCTTCCCCCCTTTGTGTGCTGCTGCTTTTCGCTTTTATTCAAAGCCCTTTGCTTTTCTCCCTTTTCCTGTCCCAGTTTTCCCAGTCACCCTCCCACACACACACCCCTTGGCTGCAGGAGCAGGGAGATGGACAAAGCACATTTGGAGTGGGGTGTTCTGGGGTGCATGGGCATGGAGGGTCCTTGGCCACGCTGCAGCTCCCCTGAGTGCCATGGAGTGCTCCGTATGGAGCCGGGTGGCAGGGATGGGACACACCATGTCTGAAATGCCAGGCACTGAGCTGTGCGGTGCCGGTCGCACCTGCAGCGTGGGGTGAACACTGATGGTGTGATCCCTGCAGGCTGCTCCGGTGACACCGGCACACGGCACAGGCAAGGGAAGGGAAACAGGTAGGAAAAGAAGAAGGGAAAAGATTCCCAGTGGAGCTGCTGGAAGCAGCGGGTGGTTCTCAGGAGCTTCATTCCCCTCTGTGCTGCAGCCGGCACTTACCTGAGCAGGTCCTCGCTCATCAGTGCTGTCTCAGTGCGGTACCAAGGTCCCGTTGCTGTGTCTTGGTGGCCAGGGCTGGCTGAGGTCCCTCCGTGCCCATCCCGGTGCCCATCCCGGTGCCAGGACTGGCAGAGGTGCCACGCTCCGGGCTGCGCGGTGCAGCCGGGGAATGCAGAGAGCGCGACACACGGCGGTGTGGATTAATTCAAATGAAGTTTTAATCTAGCCTGAATTAATACCGTGGCATTAACACTTCTTCATCAGGACCAATTACAGAGCATTAGCAGATAGTGCTGGAGAATACAATAGTCTCTGATATGCGTCATTAATGTGTAACAGATCCCTCTGGGTCATGTCTTTCCACCCTAGATGAAAGCAGGCAAGGAGGTGGGCAGGGGCTTGCTGCCATCGCATCCTTTTGGGGTTGGTTCTTGCACCCAGGGCTGTCATGGTCCCGGTGGCACCGTGGTCCTGTGGCACCGCAGCCAGGGCTGGCACTGTCCCCTCCAGCCTTGCTGAGGGGTTCTGGAGCAGCACAGCCCCTTTCCCAGCCATTGCACCATGAGTTCAGCCCTCCCTGGTCTCATCCATGAAGGTGAGAGGCTCTGGCTTGGCTCCAGTCAGGCTGGGAGGTGGTGGTCCTGGCTTGCAGGTAGGCTTGAGCCTGGAATCCAGCTTTTCCCCTTTCCTTCTGCTGCAGCAGAAGCAGTAGTAGTGGGAGTGAGAGGAACCAGGGCGGTGCAGGTATGGGGTGGCTTCATATCTGCTGATGGCATCACCCTGTCCCCTTTCTGCCGGTGGCTGCATTTGTTTTGCTTTTCTTCCCCAAGGCCAAGGGGAGAGCCCGTGGTTAATCTCCTCTGTGTTAATGTGGTGATCACAATATTGCAGAGAAACTCAACAGTGAAGACAAAAAGGGGCTTTTCTTTCTAATGGTGTGGAAGGAGAGAGCGATGGGATGGGGATCAGATGGGGTGGGATGGGATGATGGTCTCTGCAGACCTCAGTAGACCTGGGGCCCTGAGAGGCTCCGGGCTTGTGCCAAAGATCAGGCTGCAGCCAGGGTGAGCGATCACATCCCGCAGCATCCCTGCAGTCACTCCTGTCCCCTTCTCTCCCTGCCTGGACCCAGGAGCAGCACCCGGAGTTACACGGGCACGGTGTCCTGGTGCCAGTCCCCAGGAGCAGCCCTGCAGGTGCAGATGGAAGGTGCCCTGCACTAAGGGTGCCGGTGGGGCAGTGATGATGCCAGCACAGGGAGGCTGATGGGCTCTGTCTCTCCCTCCCCAGGCAGCGGCTGCGGGGTGCAATGGTGCGGAGGGCGCTGGTGCTGGTGCTCTGCCTCTCCCTGGCTGCGGCGGCATCGGCCGACTGCGTGACCCAGTGCTCCCTCTGTGCAGCACAGACCCACGGCACCGAGACCAGCATCTGGCCCCTGGTGAGTCACAGCATCACGGGTGCTGCTGCACGGGGTGGTGGTGCGGGTACCCCAGGGTGATGGGTTCGGCCGAGCTGCAGCTCCTCGCTACGCTTGGGATCACAAGGGACAGGAACTCCCGTGCTTGGGTTGTGGGAACCGCAGAAGCAGGGTGGGATGGAGAACAGGGATCACCCGGAGCACCAAGGTGATGCCAGTGGGGGTCCTGGGGCTGCTGTCTTACAGATGTGCCTGTGGGAATGCCAGGGCTCCTCACCCCCGGGCCCCGAGTGGGACACGTGCAGGAAGGCGCTGGCACTCCTGGCCCCGCTGGTGGCTCTGGCTGAGGGGACGGAGCCGGTGGAGGAGGAGGAGGCAGAGCCGGAGCAGGAGCTGGGTCCTGGCGAGCAGCCGCTGGCGCCAGCCAAGCGCTACGGGGGCTTCATGAAGAAGATGTCCAAGGGGAAGCTGCTGTCCCTGCTGCGCGAGAACGCCCACAGCAAGGGCGGCCTCAGCAAGAAGTTCGGGGGCTTCGGCCGCAAGCCCGGGGAGCGGGAGGCCCCCGAGGACTACCCGGGGTTGGCAGGGGCTGGGGGCGAGGAGGAGCCCACGGGCGCCGGGGCCGAGGGGCAGGAGCTGCACAAGCGCTACGGCGGCTTCATGCGCCGCATCCGGCCCAAGCTCAAGTGGGACAATCAGAAGCGCTACGGGGGCTTCCTGCGGCGGCAGTTCAAGGTGAACACGCGGGCGGACGAGGACCCCAGCGCCTACTCAGGGGAGGTCTTGGACCTATAGAGCCCGGCATCAGGGTCCCCACGCTGCCAGCCTGGACTGTGCCGTCACCCCCCGGCCCCATCCCTTTCCCAGTCCGGTGTGGCCGGTGTCATCCCTGCCTCATCCACCCAGGGGACCACAGGTCTCCATCCCCAGTGATCCCTCCCTGGTTCACCTGCCCATCCCTTAGGGACCCCAGGTACCAAGGGGACAGTGCCACCCCTCTGGCTGCTGCTGGTGCGGCTGCGGGTCCAGCCCCAGGGCTCCTGGGGGCAAATTAAGGTGGGGGACCCATATCCTCCACCCTCCCACAGCTGCAGAGCACAGCAGGGTCTGGGAACCATCACGGCTGATGTAGAGGGCAATGGCCTCTGAGCACCGGGAAAGGAGCATTGGACCTGTGCCCCTTCTTCCCCCCCCCCCCAAGCCAATAAAAGGCAGATGCCAACAAAGCCAAAGCTGTGCTGAGCGTCCTCCATGGGCCATTTCACACCCTTGGCATGAAGGGACCATGCACCCCGAAGCTGGGGCCTGGTGGGTTGATGGGGGTGCCATGGGTGCCAGCCGAGACCATCAGGCAGCATGAAGTGGTACCCTGCCTGTGCCATGGATGCTGATGGGGATGCAGGACCCCATGCACCATCACTGCTGCCCCTGGATGCAGCAGTGCCGCATGGGGAGAGGTGCCCAGGGGGACCAGTCCTATAGCCCTCATCCCAACCTCAACCTCCTGCTGCTCTTCCTCCCTGTACAAGCTGAGATTCCCCCCTCCCTGCTGTGGGACAGGCAGCCCCCAGTGCACGGGGACACGCTGATGGGGGGGAGCAGCACAGGACTTTCCACTTTTATTATAAAAATATCTCGCAAGCAAAAAGAAGAAACCAAAAAAGTTCTGTACAAGCAGTCCCACCACTCCCAAAACATCCCCAGTCCCTCCAGCCCTCCCCCCCCCCCCCCAGCAACCATGGGGGGCCAGCCCCATGCCGCAAGGCCACCCGGGTGCTATGGGAGCCAGCGCAGGGTGGTATCCCTGTGTAGTGGGGCACAGGGAGGGGGCACTTGGAAGACACTGATCCCCAAGGAAGGGCTGGGGGCAACCTGCCTGGCCCCTGCTCAGAGTTGGGGAGGGGTTGTGCAAGTCCCTTTAGAGCTCTGTGGGGTTTAGGGGTCGTAGCTGGGGCCTCGGTCTTCGTTTTGCACATCTTAATTCTAGTGTTAAGTACACAGCAGAACACCCACGTACAGCATGGAACATTGGGGTTTAGCTCGAGAAATTAACAGTTACATGGCGAACAGTCAAAACATGTTACACGGTACCTGCGGGGAGGGAGCCGGGCTGGGGGGGGCACCGGCCGAGGACGAGCTGCACGCGTTGTACAAGCCTGGGGCAGCGCTGGTGGGTGCCGGGGCAGGGCAAGGCTGTGTAGAGGGTGATGAAAAGGATGCTCTGTGCCGGGGAGGGGGCGTACCTGGAGCCTCCCTGGGCGGCAGGATGGGCAGAAGCCTTGGGGGGGGGGGGGGGCTCGGCTCGCCGGCCTTCCCAGCATCATTGGCCCGCAGAAGGGACACTTGGGAAGAGAGATGCGGACGCTCCGGTCCTTCCTTTAAAGCCAGTTTGGTTTCCAGGCAGCAGAGCCCAAGAAGGCAGTGCAGGGGCTCCAGCCCATCCCTGCGGGGTCAGGGCGGCAGTGGCATTCCCATGGGAGCCGGCGTGGAGGCACTGTCGCTGCTCTGCTGGATTAACCCGCTCACGGGCAATCCCGGCACTCCGAGGCTGAGCAGTCCCCATGGCTACGGGGGGGGATCCCCAAGGGATGGAGCCGGCAGCCCCGGGACAAAGCCGCCCCCCCCAAATCAGGTCTCTGCGGATGGGAGCCAACCCCCACAGTGCGGGGGGCTCCATTTCCATCCCAAAACGCGGGTACCGCAGCGCATCTTCACATCGCTCTCGGTGCTCCCAAGAACATCCTCCCGGGCAGGGGCAGGCTGGCTCCCCGTGACGCGGGGGTCCCGCTGCAGCCCTGCTCACTTCCTCGGGATCTGGACGCTGGCGTACTCAGAGCCGGCCTCTTCGGGGCGCGGGGCCGGCCGCGGGGGTGCCTTGCTGAGGTGCACCATGTCCAGGTCGGCATAGGTGAGGTTGTCATCGCCGTTGGGCGCCCGGCTGCTCTGGATGCAGGCGTACTCCGACTGCTGGCTCACCTCCACCATGCGGCGGATGGTTTTCCTCTCTTTGTCGAAGTTCAGGTCCGCGTAGGTCAGGTTGTTGGGGTCGGATTCCTGTGGGGGACACCAGGAGTTCTTCCTTTGGAAGCATGAGCGAGGAGCCTCCCCATGACCACCCATGCACCAGCCCAAACCCGACAGTGAAGTCGGTCCCACTGCAGCTTGGTCTCTGCTTGTACAGGGGGTACTTTTTACAGGGGCCTGTAGGGACAGGCCAAGGGGAATGGCTTTAACCTGCCCGAGGGGAGACTGAGATGAGCTCTCAGGCAGAAGCTCTTCCCTGTGAGGGTGCTGAGGCGCTGGCACAGGGTGCCCAGAGAAGCTGTGGCTGCCCCATCCCTGGCAGTGCTCAAGGCCAGGTTGGACACAGGGGCTTGGAGCAAGCTGCTCCAGTGGAAGGGGTCCCTGCCCGTGGCAGGGGTTGGAGCTGGAGGAGCTTTAAGGTCCCTTCCAACACAAACCAGGCTGTGATGAAGGGGAGCGATGCCAGCAGCCGGCTGGGACAACCCCACAGCAATGCTTTACCCCACGTTACATCTCCAAACCACCACTGAGAGGCTTCAGCGCCAGCACCGTGACTCAAGAGCCACCCCATCACCCTGGATGCAGGCGTACTCCGGGTGCAGGGACTGAGCAGGGGCCAGGCTGCCCAGCGATGCCCACGCCGGAGCTGGCAGAGGCTGGGTGGGACGGACAGATTGCTGCTGATCACGACTTTGCTCGTAGCTGCGTCACCGAATGCAAAACAACTCCACAAATAGCCTGGCTGGCTATCGCACAGCTGGCTCTCAGGCACCACAAACCCAGACTTCCACGAGGAGGAGGAGGAGGAGGAGGAGAGGGCGAAGGCAGAAAAGATGCTGGAAGTGGCTACCCCATGGCCAGGGCAGCGCTCCTTCCCTCTCCTGCCGCTGTGTGGAGACTCTGGTGCTTCACAGGGGAACCACCACCCTCCACTGGAGGCACGGAGATGTTTCATGCAGGAACCACCCTCCTCCTGCCTCCGGTGCCTCCCCACTGCGCTGCCTCCCCGGGGTCAGTGCATCACCTGGGTATTGGCCTCGCTGCTCTTTTCCGGCTCATGTAACCTGAAAAGGGGAGCAAAAGTCACATCAAGCAACGGCCCCGTTGTCTCTTCCCTTGCGATGGAGCAGCCTTGCGATGGAGCAGCCTGGGGGGGGTGGGGGGGTGGTGTGTGCAGAACAAGCTCCTTGCAGCAGCACCCAGCAGGATGAGTCCCCATCCCCACCGATGAGTGTTTGCTCACTTGCTGGTCCAGCTGCATCCCTGCAGGCTGGAATCCCACCTCCCACCCACTTGTCCAGCGCCACCAAGAGCCAAGTGTTTGGGTACAAGATCACTGCAAGGGCAGAACCACAACCAGGGAGAGGGGCAGCGCCTGTGCTCCTGGCCTTCCCTTTCACAAGCTTTTAGGGATCCAGCTGCATCCCAGCCCCAAAGGAGCCTGTTTGCAGGCTAGGTTGTCCAGCTCAAAGGGCCCATGGGTTAATCAGTGACTAGAGGTCTGCACTTACCTAGCTGATGGTGAGCTTTTACCTGCCGGAAGAGAAATGGTTTAGGAAAGAAACAGACCAGGAAACAATGGGACCCCCCTCCTTCCCCATGGAATGCCAGCCCCCATGCAGAGACTGCTGCAGGAGCAGATACACATCTTTCCCCAGAGGCAAGTGCCTGCAGTTTGCTGGGGTTTCGCTCCATTCACTGCAGGAGCTGCAGGGGAGGGTCAGGTATTTTGGGCACAATGAACAACAAGCAGGTTTGACTGGCAGCCGTAGGAACACAGCAGCAACCAGGCAGAGCCTTCCCTGCAACCAACCCAGTAGGCTCCGCTCCGTCCTCCCCTTTGGGCAGGAGCTGAGCTGGGAATTCAGCATCCCCAGATGCCTGAGATGAGGGAAAAGGGGGTCAGGAGCAGCTTCTCCTCTGCCATTGCTTTCCTTACCTTTGCTCTGCTTTGCCCGGATGAGGTAAAGAATTGCAGCCACCAGCAGCGCCAGCAAGGTGCAGACCACCCCCACCACGATGTAAATCAGGACCAAATTGTCTGAAACATGAATGAAAAAGGTCACCGTGGGCCTGAAAACACTGGTACTGACCCAGTCCTTGCAGGCTCACAGCTGGGGGACACCTGAAGCACTGAGGACAACACATCAGTACCTGTGAAAACCCCCAAACCCCAATAGGGAGATGCTGTGTCCTTGGACCAGATGTGGGGGGATTTCTAAGCTTGGGGGGGGCATATTACAGCATCCCTGCAGCTCTCACGCACCGTTATCAGTCTGGGACCGGTCGCTCAGCCCGCCCTTGGCCGGGGCAGCGATCCGCAGGGTGCTCGTCCCGCTGACGGGGCCCTGGGCGTCGTGCACCACGCGGCAGGTGAACACGGACCCGTTCTTCTCCTCCGTCGCTTGCACCTCCACCAGGCTGCGCAGCTCGAACAAGCCCCGCGGGGTCTCCGCCGGCGGGGGGGGGCTCTCCGCGCTCATCTCCGTCCCGTTCTCCAGCCAGGCGACGGCCACGTCTCCCGGGTAAAACCCCTTCACGAGGCACGTCAAGTTCACCGTCTTGTTCACCTCCACGGGGCTCGGCGGCTCAGCCACCACCTGCACGCTGGGGGGCACTGGGGAGAGAGGCAGCGCCTGGTGCGGGCCATCCCCGGCCCCGCTGCCCGCAGCGCGCCCCGTGCCCCCCGGCAGCCGCACAGCGCAGCGCGGCCCCCCCAGCCCTCACCTCGCAGGGCTCGGCTGAGCTGGAAGCTGCTCCGCAGCGGGGCCGGCAGCGTGCGGTGATGAACCTCGCACTGCAGCTGCGAGCGGACGTCGCCCTCCTGCAGCGTCACCGACACGGTGCTGGACGCGTCGTAGGAGGATTTCGTCCGCCCGGGGGTGACCTGGGGCTGCTGAGCCGAGATCTGGGCCCCGTCCTTCAGCCACTTCACAGCGATTTCTCTGGGGAAGAACCCTCCGGCCGTGCACGTGAAAGGCACCGATTGCCCCGGCCCTGCTCTGTTCCATGGCCCGGACACGACCGGCCTGCTGGGTTTGGCTGCGGGAGAACAGAAGCAACGGGGCCGTCAGACCGGGCTCTGCCAGCCCTGCCCGGCCCCGGGGCTCCCATGGGGACATGGGTATGGCCAGGGGTGACCCACGGGACCTGCTCCTGGGGCAGCACCGAGCCCCTTCTGCTCTGGGAGCCCCACTCACCGTACACGGACACCTCAGTGCCCTCTCCACGCTTAAACACCGAAACACCATGCACAGACTTCTGGTACTTCACGCAGTAATAGGTGCCGGCATCCTCGAGGCGAACGTCCCTGATGAGGATGGTGAAGTCTGTGCCGGACCCAGCTGCTGCCCTCGTCACACGGGGGAACGTGCCCGTCTGCTCATAAAAGGTCTCATTCTCACTGCCCCAGCCCTTCAGCCACTTCACAGGACCAATGGGACCATCTCCAGATATGGTGCAGGTCAGGGTGAGCGTCTCCCCCGCTGTCACTGACACATTGCCCTGGGGCTGATGTAGCTTGAAGTCCGGAAACTCCTGGGCACCGGTACCTGGGGGGAACATCAGACCACATCACATCTGGCACCGCACACCCGACCAGGTTCCCTTCCGCACCCCTGGGCCAGGCTGAGCACACGGCTCCGGGCAGTGGGGACCAGGGTAGCAGGGAGCCCAGGGCAGTGATTGCAGGTACAGAAGCATCAGACACCTCTGTGCTCCCAGCCAGGCAGAGCTGTGCCAATGAACCCCCGTGGTGCTCAGAGCAGCTCGGACACGAGGCAGTTCCCAGCTGCCGGCACAGCCGCTGCCTCCCATCGCCGCTCGGCTCTGTCACACAGGAGGAAACAAGGGCGCAGGATCCGAGGCACTCCAGAGCACAAGCTCCCCTCGCAGCTGCAATGCCACGAACTGCACCGAGTGTCCCACTTCTGCAGTGACTCCAAGCCCTGATTCCTTCCAGCAGAGCACAGCCGTGAGCCAAAGCTGGTGCCAGTCAGGCCAATGCCAGCCCTGCTCATTGCCAACAGAGGAGAGCACTCCCCTTCCAAGCATCCCTCCTCCAGCCAACCACTGCACCTCCCCACACAACCAGAGACCTGCTGTCCCAAGCGTTCCCCCATGGGTGCCAATACACCTTCCTACACGCAGGGAGAAGCACCTAACAGGAAAAAGCAGGAGTTCCACTCTCCCTATGGGCAGGTGGTAACAAAGCGCACCCGAGTGGGCAGGGATGGGGCTCCAAGCCCACCACTACGCAGGAAGGATGCACCAGGAGCTGCTCAGCCCCACGAACCAGTGATGCTGCTGCTCCCTTCTCCCTTAAAGTAGCTACAGCAGCAGAATGAGCCACCCCATAGCCTACATGGCTCTCAAAGGGTTGGTTTTGGCAGCACCAACATCATTACTACAACCACACTGAATGAGATTTCAATACAGGTCACTGCTTAAAGAAACAGTTTTAAGCAACATGGGAGAACCACTTAAACCCTGCTGATAACAGGGGCCAGGCACTGCTGGCTGCTGCAACCCCAGAGCTGGCAAGTGGCACACGGAACCAGTGTCACGGTCATGCAGAGAGCATCAGGCTTGAACAGGTAGCTCCTGCATCCCACCGCAGATAAAACCCAGGGCAGAGACTCCTTGGTCCCCTGCAGCCGTCCCCAGGATGGGCCAAGATCCTTGGCTGGATGCTCCCAGGAGAAGCCGCTGCAGGACAGGCTGCTCTGCCCCTACCCAGCCAAGGCTGGCTCCCACAGAGCCTGGAGAGGGATTTTGGCAGCCGTGAATCCCTCCTGACTTCCAGCAGTATTTGATGCACCCACAGATGTTCTCACTGTCTGCACAATTACATGATCTCAATGGCCAGAGCCACCACTTCATCCGGGCTCCCCAAATTAAAGGCTTTTTGCCCAGGGCATTAGGCTGCTGCATCCACATCATAGGCAGATGCCCACAGACAAAACCTTCAGCTCTTGGTGTTTCCCTTCAAAGCCATGTCAAGGACAACGCATTAGCAGCACTCGGCACCAGAGCAAGCTTGCCCCATAAGACAAGTGCAGAAAGACAGAAGCCTGGCTTGTGTCACATCCGGACTGCACCGCTCAGGCTGATCCCTGGTCTTGCATCTGGGCTCTGTAAGGCAAATCCACATTTCTTGGGTGACACCAAACCAGAGGGCAGAGAGCCCCTGCCCTCCACCGGGGTTTGTGTGCGCCATGTGCAGAGCACGGTGACACAGGGCGCACGCTGCTGCTGCGCCATCTCCTGAGCTTCTCCACTGCCTTCTGCTTCTGACCTTTCCCAAGAAGGGGGTAAGAAACACACAGAGGAAGTTTGAGAGCACAGAAGCATCACCTGCCCCTCGTCATCCACCTCTCGCCATGGGGATGTGACCCAGACCATGGACCAGGCTGCGGCGGGCACAGGGACCCCCAGCCCCTTCACATCCCCAGGGTGGCCACGTTGCTGGTTGCTCACTCTGCTCATTAGCAGCCGCCGCCTGCTCCCCTCTGCACCCCTGTGTAATAGGGACCTGTGTGGGGCGGTGCCCCCCCTGCAGCCCCACAAGGGTCCCCTGCTCGGAGGGGCCAGCGCCACCCCGTGCAGCAGAGCCCAGCCTGCAGCGAGCCAAGCGCTTCCTCTTCATCCTCCCTCTCTCCATCTGTCCCATCTCCCCACGAGCCACGCGTCGTGCCGGAGGGGGGGAACGTGGGGGGAAGCGCCTGCCTTGGGGTCCTGGAGCTGACCCCAGCACCAGAGCACGGTTGGGGTGGGCACAGAGGCGTTGCTCATCCCTGAAGCATGTTTCTTGGGTGCAGCGATGGGGTCTTGGGGCAGTTAAACTGAGCTGAGTGCAGCCACCCCTGGTGCTGTAGCTCCCCAAGACGACGGGGTCTTGGGGCAGTTAAACTGAGCTGAGTGCAGCCACCCCTGGTGCTGTAGCTCCCCAAGACGATGGGGTCTTGGGGCAGTTAAACTGAGCTGAGTGCAGCCACCCCTGGCGCTGTAGCTCCCCAAGGCTCCTGGGCTCACAGGGATTTACCTTCGCAGGCAGAGGGGTTTGGAGCGGGGTTATGGATGCTCCCTGTGCATCTCACATCATCCCCTCTCCCGGCTGCAGCAGCAGAGGGATCTGCAGGCAGGGCCCGTGCTCTTGCCCAGTGACAGGATGCTGGAGGTGCTGCTGCAGCAGGGCCGTTGCCATACGGGGCTTCTCTGTCAGTGCTGCTGCTCCCAGAGCAGGCAGGGAACAAAGGGCTTCCCACTGCTCCCATGCTGCCTGCCAGGAGGCTGCACGGGCAGCGCCGGTCACTGCAGAAGGCACACGTGGCTCTTGGTAGCCTCTTAGATCGGACTAAAACGTGGCTTTGGGGTATTTTCCCATGTGCTCTGCTATGAGCCGCCTCGCTGCTTTAGAGCCTTTCACACGCAGCTCCGCTCTTCAGCTCACCCCGCTCAGGGTTTGCAGGAGATCTATTAAACATGAGCTTCAGCCATGATACAGCACGTTAGCAACACGTCACTTTAACAGGACCCGCTCCTGCCTCCCACCGGGGAGCACAAGCCCCGGTCAGAGCAGCCGGCAGCACGCAGCACCCAGCAGGACCACCCTGACCAAGCCCCCTCCAAGCTCCTGCAGCAGCAGCCCCAGGGCGATGCCGCCACCCCCTGCCATGGGAACACACAAAGGGGAAGTTGTCAGAAACCCCCAGAATATGCAAGTTCGAAAGCACAAAGTTTCCACTGCGGCTCCTTCCCTCCTTTCCCCCCCCCATGGCAACTTCTTCTTGCAGCCGGCAGCCTCCCTCCTTCCCCTTTCTGCGTGCTCACCTCAGTAAGAGGTAGGGCCAGGGAACCCCTTCCCAGTCGCTGTTTGCCAGCACCGGGTCTGCTCCCAGTGTGCCTGGAAATGGGATGCAGGGGGGTCCTCGTGCTGCGAACACGCGGCACGCAGCCCCATCTCTCCCCATTCCAGCACGAAACTGCTTCCCACCTGCACATTGACGGTGCCACCCCATGGCAGGAGCTCCTGAAGACTTCGCTTTCAAACTGACTCTTCTGCTGTCGAGATCCAGGGCAGCTCAGGTGCTCTGCCCCTGCAATCTGCTCTACCCCACACTCCGGAGTTAGCAAAGGGGATCAGAGCCCCCCAAAGCATCGCCTGACGATTCCCATGTAGGTGGGAGCACCCTCGCAAGGCAAACCCGGAGCACTTCCAGCCTGGAGCAGCGGCACGAGCAATGGCATCGTGCTGCGCCTGGCCTGGCAGAGCCTCCCTCCTGGCATTCGGGTTTAATTTGGGAGCAGCATCACCCCCAGCCCTCCCGCTGCGGTGCAAGTTTCCCAGCTCGGTGACACATTTTCCTTCCCCCTGTATTCCACCTTTTGAAGTATTTGATACGGAACAGATTGCGAGAGGCTGGGGTTGAATCCAGGAGAGGCTGCTCGGATGCTTCCCGATAAAAATAGAGCTTTTTTCCCCCCTTCCAAAGGGGCTGGGTGAGCAGCTCCAGGGTGGCTGCGTGCTCCAGAAGCAGCGTGCAGCTGGCCACCGGCATCCAGAGCCCTGCGGGCACTTGCTTGAAGGGCAAGAGAAGCCCCAAAATAATCCCACTGGAATTTCACCTGCAGCCGGGCTGCCTATGGGGGAAACTAACAGGTGCTGCCTATAAAAAGGGCCTGGAATCTGCAGTCTGGGGGCAGCCAAGAGGAGAGACCCCGGGATAAGCTGCTGAGCCACGCAGATCCCGGTGTGGCTCCGCGAGGGTTGTAGTAAAGGCTGTATCTTACAGACATGACATCAGAGGAAGCCTCGGATCACACACAGCCACCATTTGCGAGCTTCCCTCCTACAGCCTTAGCAGAAATTGAGCTCGAAAGCCAGAGCCCCACGAGCAAACAGATTTCCTCTTTAGGGGAGGCTCTGAAAAGCGCCTGCACAGCACAGATTTTGCAACGGGGCTTTGCAACCCGGCTTCCGAGCACCTCGCTTCTCTTTGCCCTACAGGAAGAGCTCCAGCAGGACCTTCCCTTTCCCCTTCGCTTCTGCAGAAGCGCTGTGGAAGCAGCAAGGGCCTGGGCCAGCTCTCCTGCAGCTCAGGCTTCACTTGAGCCATGGCCCAGGCGGGTTCACCGCATGGAAGTGAAGGCTTCGGATCCGCATGCTCGCACCCGAAATCAGGGATGCAAAGCACGGCTTCCAGCCCCAGGATGGCTCTTTCCCTGTGGCTGGCTTGGGAAAATGGGGCTCTTACTCCCAAGGCCACGTTTAATTAAACTCAAGCGCATTGCTGGAGCCATTCTCCCGTGGCAGGAAATCACAGCGGTTCACCGGGAAGCACCGCTCGCCGCCAAAGCCTTCTTGGCTCTCAGCAACTGGGAGTTTTCAGCTTGGGGCCAACACTTCTCAGTTGTGATCAGGCAACTCAAAGCAAGGAGTGTTGTGCTGAAAGCATTTGCTTTCTGCTCAAGTTTGCGCTCAACTCCCTGCCCAAGGAAAGCTTTGGTGGTGAATAGCTCCGATGGGCCTGGGAGAAGATGGGCTTCCCCCACATGGGAGCCTGGGCTGGGTTATCTGCAGTGGGACCCCACTGGAAGGTGGGAATTGTGGACCGACCGGGCAAAAAGCTCAGGAGCAAGGTGCTCCTGAAGGCACGTGGCTATTGCCCCATCCTCCCTGGAGGTGGGCAGGAAGGAGAGCTATTCCTTAACCTGAAGAGCACCGAAACGAAACAGCCTAGAAAGAAAACCTCCTTGAAAGCAGCAGCCACCACAGGGCTTCGTTCCTGGTGGGGCGAGAAACTTCCCACTGCTGGTAAGGGAAGGGAAAGAGCCAGAGAGCAAGCACAAACCCCGATCGCCTCACGCTGCAGCACCAGGGGCTGGTGGAGCCCTGGGACATGCCGGAGGCCGGCAGCAGGAGTCCAAGGAGGGCTGGGGGACACAGGGGGTAGCAGCAGGAGCCCGGGGTGCCCCATGGCTCATGCTTACAGCAGGGTTGGGTGGCGCAAGGTGCCTGCAGGGATGGCGCAATCCCACCACTTCAGCGCTCAACAGTTGGGTTGGAGCAGCAAGAACTGTATGGGGGGGGGGGGGGAAGCAGGGGGGTAACAAGAAAAACAAGTTCTTTGAATGGTTTGGGTTAGAAGGAACCTTAAAGCTCATCTGGTTTCAATCCCCTGCCACAGGCAGGGACACCTTCCACCAGAGCAGGTTGCTCCAAGCCCCATCCAGCCTGGCCTTGATGGGGCATATCTGAAGTTAATGGCAGAGGAGGCCGGTAGCCCTCACCACAGCCTTCCCCCCCTGCCTGCTCCACCATCCTCCCCATCAACCTCGAGCAGGAATTTGGGCTTGCAGAGATTTTCCTCTCACGTAGCTGGCAGGGGGTGCTAGCAAATGGGTGGAAACAACATGCCGCTTCACGTCCCTGCCTAATTCCCTCGTCTGGCTGGGAAGGGGAATGTCTGCCTTGAAGTTTGCTGCTGGAGGAGCCGCGGAGAGAGGCCCCTGCGGGAGGGGAGCCCATCACCGCGCTCTAGGTCACCGCGGAGAAAGGTCAAACCGAACGGCATCGTGTCGCGGTCGGGAGGTGCGCGGTGAGGGAGGGGAGAGGCGAGGATGGAAGGGAAAGGAAGGAGGAAAAGACGGGAAGAGCAAAGGGAGCTGCAGGGCCGTGGCTTACCTGGCAGGAAGAGCAGCACCAGGCAGGTCAGCGGCCAGGGGCTCCGGGGAAGCGGCTCCATCGCCGGCGGTGTCGGGGCAGCGGGGGCTGGAGATGCTGCGGAGCTCCTCGCTTCGCTTTTGGGTTTAATAACAGAAGAAAAGGGGAAAGGCAGACTGCGGCCGGAGCGGGCGCCGCTGCCCCAGCCCCGAATGAGGAAGGAGGGCTGGGCTCCCGCCTCCCGGCTCCGAGCGCACGCACAGCCCGGCCCCCCCCTCCGCACCCACCGGGCCGGGCCCCGGCACCGACCGCTCCGCGGGGCCTCCCCGCCCGCTCCGCGCCGTTACCGTGGCACCGGGGAGGGTGGAGAGGGAAGGGGGCGGCACCGGCTCGAAGCGGGGAGGGGGGGGGGGGGGTGTCCGTCCGTCCGCCCCGGTCTAAGGTCGCTTCCCAGCGGCGGGGGCGAAGCACCGAGCAGCGCCCGCCCCGCAGCGCGCTTGGCTTTCGCAAGGTCCCGCCGGTGCGCTGCTGCCTTAAGGTGGGCTGGGGCTGGGATCCCCGCCCCGGTAGCCACCGGACACTGAGCGCAGCCCAGCATCCCTGCGCTGGAACCGGGGTGCTGGGGACAAGCGGCCTCGGGGGCCCTGAACGCGCCGGGGAAGGGGGGGGTGTGAGGGGTTAGGGGGGTTATGCCCCTGCCCACAGGAGATGTACAGGCACCGTTTTGGAGGTGCCACGTGCATGGAGCAGCTCAGCTTAGGGGGGTCAAAGTGAAGAGGGGACCCTGGGGTAGCACAGACAGGAGGTGGATGGGGAGAGAGGAAATCATGGAATCCCAGAGTGGGTTGGGTGGAAGGGACCTTAAAGCTCCTCCAGCTCCAACCCCTGCCATGGGCAGGGACCCCTTCCACTGGAGCAGCTTGCTCCAAGCCCCTGTGTCCAACCTGGCCTTGAGCACTGCCAGGGATGGGGCAGCCACAGCTTCTCTGGGCACCCTGTGCCAGCGCCTCAGCACCCTCACAGGGAAGAGCTTCTGCCTCAGAGCTCAGCTCAGTCTCCCCTCTGGCAGGTTCAAGCCATTCCCCTTGCCTGACCCTCTTGGCCCTTGTCCAAAGCCACTCTCCAGGTTCCTTGCCGGCCCCCTGCACCCCTGGAGCACGGGGACATCCCCATGATGTCCCCTCAGCAGGACAGGATTAGCAGGAGCCCGTGGCAGGCAAGACCCTGAGGATGAGGCAGCTGCAATGGGAGACGGGTCTAAGGAAGGGGAAAGTATCTGGATGTGAGCATCCATGGAATGCAGACCCTGCACCACCCTGCTCCTCTCTGACACAAAGTCCTCCCCAGGGAGGCACAAGGACGCATTCTCCACTGCACCTGCAGCAGCTTCTCCCCCCACACACGGCAACCTCAACACCAGGGACCAGCATCTTCCCCTGCATGGACACAGTCACCTACAGCCAGACCCGATGCTGGCAGCCCCCACCTCCAGCACATCCCAAAAGCACCCGCTTCCCTCTGCCCACACGGGGATGGGGCACATTCTCTACAGCCCAGAGCTGAGTGGGGGCTCCCAGCACCCGCAGGTAGCACCCATCCAGCCCACAGCTCACACTGGGCGCCGGGGGACCGCCTGCCGGCTCCCTCCTCCTGCCCAGGCAGCCGCTGGGGCTGTCGGTTTATTTCGAGCCCCGCACAAACAAACAGCAGAGCTTCTGAAGGGACTTGGCACCATCAATCTGCGCGTTCCCAGCCCCACCAGCCTCCCCCTCGGCCCCAGCTACGCCCATGTGTTGCATCCAGCCTTAATTTAGCTGCTGGAAGCCAGGACCGGCCCCTCCAGGCATCTGCACCTCCCTCTGGGACCCCCCAGCTGCCTCAAGCACCGAAGCCGCAGCTTCTCCTACTGTAAAGCACCCTGTGGCCGGCGCTGCTCCGAGGTGCTTAAACCCAGTTGTGTTTATTTCCCTTCACACAGCTGGCGAGAGCGAGAGCCAGCAGCAGGGACCCAGAGGAGCCCTTGGGTTTGGCTTTTGGCCTTCCGCCACATGCGGCGTGACATGGAAATAAGGAATTGCTTTGCACAGCCATTGGACACGGGATTAGCGGTGGTTTTGTGGGAATCTGGGAACGGGGTGTCCCGAGGAGCTGTGCCTGCCCCATCCCTGGCAGTGCTCAAGGCCAGGTTGGACACAGGGGCTTGGAGCAAGCTGCTCCAGTGGAAGGGGTCCCTGCCCGGGACAGGGGTTGGGGACTGGAGGAGCTTTAAGGTCCCTTCCAGCCTAAATCACCCCACGGTTCTACAGTGCAATGGGGCAGCACGTCCCACCCAGGCACAGCCCGGCAGCAGGCACCCCACCCAGGGCAAGC